ATTAAAATATAAGAATTAACAATGTAGTCACAAGTAAAATGTATAAGAAAATATGATCATTAAAAGCAGTAAAAATTGATTAAGGATAGATCCACTTCGTACTCAGAGTCCCGTGAGATCTAATGCTTTTAAGTTTTTAACAACTGAACTTTTAATTTGTAACTAGAATAGCATCATCACCTTTGTGATTCAGCGGGACAGATAACAGAGGTGAGACAAAATGCAAAAACAGGACATTTGGCACACAAGTTCTCTAAAGTTCTCTGTTTCCCTATCGAAAAATACATCAAGCACTCAAGACCATGAAATTGACCACATTTCCAAACACCTTGAAGTTCATCAAAAACATTCTGCTTAGCATAATTGTATTTTCAGCTCTCTTCCTGGTGTCTGGAAATATGGTCAAACACGGTCTTTCATGTTTGACATATAAATTATTATTAACACCAAAACTTCAGAAATCTAGAGCACATAACATCAAATTGAACTTTGATGTAAGATAATGGATTTTCGTGAGTATTTACTATTTTTAAACCAACCTTCCAACTTGCTGTACAGTGCCACTGACCATCCTCCCCAAGGTCCCAAACCTAGTACAAAGTGGTTTCATTAGATAACATGTAATAACAAACATACTTTTATTTTTCTCAAAGAATCACATGTATTTGTATCTGCCGAAGAAGCAGGGATTTTATTAGAAGCCGGCAACTGGCGACAATCGCTGCCTACTTTGTCTGTATTTTCACTCAAATTATAAAAAAAATTCATCAGTTTGCCGCCTACTTTAGTTAGCTCAGACAGCTATTTCAAAGCTTATTGAAAACCCTGAATAGGCCATATTTGTATAATCACTACTGGACTGGAACAAGCTTGGAATCGAGGCTCATGTGAGGGAATATCGTCAAAAAGAGAATAATGCCATTTACATTTGAAAAGACTCCATGCATTAGCCTCCGTTGGAAGGTAATTCCAGTCCTATAACAAGAATATGAAAGCAGTCTATTGTGGAAGTTTTGCACCTGATTGAGTTTGCACTGAAGTGTTGGGTGTGTTTGCCACCAGCATTCACTTTGTATCAGGGGTTTCATTAATGTTTTCAACAGGCAAAACTTTTTGAACTGATCTTCTTTATAACAAAAAGGTTTCTCTGGATGGTCAAACCAGGTGGGCAATGTCATCCTCACAACTGGTTAATCTGCCCAGTGCCCGGCCCTTAATGAAACCCCTGTTCTATTCATGCTTAAAGAACAAGAAATACCCAGTAGTCAGTGTTTTCACTCTCAAGAGAAATATACTGAAGTTGGAATCTGCTAGACTCCAATAAATTTTCTTTAACATAGTCTCAGTTTGCACTGAGATGCCCAGAGAGTTTATGCCAACGCTGCTAGCATTCACTGTGATTCATATTCACCCTGACAGCATGAGAAATAGTTTTTCACTCTCAAGGGTAGTGATACTAAAGTTGGGGTCTGGTAAACTCCAATGTACTTGAATGTAACTCTGACATCAAGATACCCTACTGACGGAGTAGGGAGTGATATTGGTTGACCTCTCAAAAAAGTGTTGTGCCATCTCAGATGGTGTTGAAACTTGATTGGGTATGAAACCTCAGCTCCTGCTAACTGCCTGTCAGGTGCTCACCAGCATGCATACGTCACAGACAGGGATTAAAACAATACAGCTGAAAGTATTCTCACAAATTTTGCATTCTGACCCACAGGGAGGGATGCAATTAACAGGGATAATAAATTAAGGCACGAAAGCAAACCATAGAGGAAGTTAACCAAAGCGCTTTTTTTTAGCCTACAAAACATAAGCTAAAATGTATTTAAGCCATGGCCAGTGGTACGAAACTGGAATCCAGGTCATCGATTAAATTGTTCATTCGTAAATCCTCACCTTTACACTCTGGTCACTGGAGCATGTTGCCATTCGTCTTCCGTGGAAATCATAAGACACATCGTGAATTAAGTCTTTGTGTTCTGCAGGTATTTCACGAGCTACAAACATGATTTTCGCGCGGTGCAGAACAGCTTAACACAGATTTGGTTAGTACGTCATGTGAGAAATCAGAAGAAGTAAACGAGAGAGGATAACTAAACGAGAGATCAAGACAACTTTGGCCGGGCCTGGCGAACAGAAAGTCTCGGCAACTTGCGCGCTAAATTGATCAAAACCTTGAGGACTGGACAAATACTTCATGCAATTCACTGTGAAGCCTCCCTCTTTAACTCTGGCATTATAGCTTCTTAGGTAGCTTTTCAAGAGGACACTATATGACTTATTACATACTAAACAGACCCGAGCGGATGGTCATGTGACCAAGTATCGGTCGCCATCTTAAAAATTTGGATGCGGAAGCGTGGGGAAACGATACTCGTATACGTAGTGTACACAATCTGCTTCCATCGTCTTTTAATCACCATCTTAACTATTCGAAACGCTACCTTTTTCTTTTGCAAGTATTTTTATAGTTCTTTAGCTAGGTATTCTTTTTACAAATGGCTGATTTGGACGAAAGTGCCCAAGATAGCTTGTTGGACGCGGCTTTACACGCGACAAAGGATGACGATGTTGTCTTAGGAGATATTTCTGGTGTGGATCCAGCTGTAGATGACTCCCTAGAAGATCCGGTAACCATGCATTTTATGTTCTGGGCCATTGCAGTAAACACTGTATATTTTAATCACCCTTGGGTTTATAGACTCGTTAGATAGCAAAGCACGGAGGTTATGTTGTGTAAGAAGCTACTTTGCTGAAAAATCTGTAATCCTCCAAACTCTTGCTCGTTATGAGTAAAAGTGCTCTGTTTTATAAACTTGGAGAGATTCGTTGTTCGACAGTTAACACAGCAAATAGTGAAACATAAAGACAACATGTACAACTATTTTCTTTGTAAGCTTTCAAAGCCTGATTTGAAGGTGTGTTTGAGTTAAGTTGAATACCTTCTCCTCTGTATCAGTGTATGTGTCCTTCAAAACTCCCTGCTGCCTTTTTGGCAAATTCAGAGTTCAAATGTAGAATCTATATGCTGGCTAGAGAGAGTTTACTAGATGGCCATCTCTCACTTGTTGTAATTAGCAAATTATACCTCGAGTAAATTACATGTGCGTTATAGTTTATGGTGGTATGTTCAAGGAACTTGAAGCCATTAAAGCAAGAGTAAAAGAAATGGAAGAAGAAGCAGAAAAATTGAAAGAAATGCAGAAGCAAGTTGAAGAAACTATCATGAGTCCACCAGCAAGTCAACCAGCATGTAAGATGAAACAAATGTTTTTATTTTCTTTAGAGAAATATTATTTGGCACAACCAATTCTAGCCAACCTCTTATGCATACTAGAGAGTCAAGGTCAGGGTGGGTATAGTCTAGTCTCCTTCACAGCTGTCACTAGGGGGAGAAGCATTGCATGAGGACCCTGATAATGGCAGCGAATTAGACCAGGGTGGATAAGTATAGAAGAAATGTCTGGAAATGTCCACCCCAACCTTGTGTTGACATTATTGTTTGTGCACACTGAAGTGGAATGCAAGAAAGGTCTCTTCCCTTGTGCCTTAAAGAATATAAACATTGCTTTTGCTAATTTTCATCAAGGAGAACCAAGATTGAGCATTGATAGTTTGATTTTGTGTGAAAGATGATGGTTGGTGAAAGCAATGTAGATGGGAGCAGAAAATGTGTTGAAGAAAATAAAAAAGTAATATTGAAATTATTTATAGTTTTCCTGATTATAAAGCCCAGTTCACACTTGTGACATAACGACATGAACAAAATGACATAAGGGAAAAAACTCATCTGAAGTGTTTATGTCGATGTTCACAGTACTGATGCAAGTGATTATGTTGTTATGTCACTAGTGTGAACTAGGCCTTGCTGAAGTTTGGCAGCAGGCCTATTTTCGTACTAGCTCCTGCCTTCAGTAGTTGTGTGGCATAATTTGAAATAAATGTACAACAAGCAGACCAAGTAAGACAGAACATTGAAAGAAGTGTTTTTGAAATTTGGAGCGACACCATTCTGTACTCGTTCCAGATTCTATAGACCTGGTTGATTTGTTAGTAGATTAGTCATGACATATTCCTCATGTTCATTTCAATGTTGCTCTTTACAGACTAGGAGTTGAATGTATATTTTGACTGTGAGTCCCTGCACGTAGTAATATTATTAACAATAATATTAGTAGCTGCTTAAAATGCAATAACAGACTATGTCTAACATTATTATCCAGTGTAAATGATAACTCTTTTTGCAGTCCCGAAAACTCCGGAAGAAAAAGGAGAAATTGATGCAAGATCAGTTTATGTTGGCAATGTAAGTAAAGCCATGAAGCAGTTTGAAAATGGAAGTAGAATTAGGAACATGTACTGTATAACCTTTTTTGCTAAGGAATGTCAGATGCAGCATTACTGTACATGCTGCTCAAGAGCAAGCAATACCCAATGTACTTAAATGACATCTGAAAAACAAGTATGAATGTATAAGATCCACATTTGGAAACAAGATGCTTGTGAAACTTGTGTGCAACTCCTGTTGGGAGATCTCAGAATTGTTTTTTTTTTCCAGAATGGTTCAGTGGTATTACTGACTGTTAAGCACAAGTGTAGTAGCATGTATGTAACAACACTTGTGCACAGCTTCGGTTCCTGACATTCTTTATTTTTTCAGGTTGATTATTCTGCCACAGCAGAAGAATTAGAACAGCACTTTCATGGTTGTGGAGCTGTTAACAGAGTTACAATTCTTTGCGACAAATTTACTGGACATCCTAAAGGGTTTGTGATATTTTTTATGCCAGCGATTTATATGATTTGTTGTGATTATTTCGCGCTCACATTGATACTTTCCCTGTAGATTTGCATATATTGAATTTACTGACAAGGACAGTGTTGAAACTGCTGTGACTATGGATGATTCGCTGTTTAAAGGAAGACAGATAAAGGTGCACTATGCAATAGTCTATTCTAGTTTCAATGCTTATTTCCAAGAGTAAAGATCATTTTAATATGATTTGGTGAAGATACATAATTTTAGTACATATGAAGGGCTTCTTTAGTGTACTGTTTATTTCTAGGTCAACCCGAAAAGAACAAATCGACCAGGTATCAGCACAACAGACAGAGGAAGAGGAAGGGGCAGAGGTCGTGGCTTTAGAGGTGGCTTCTACAACCCTTATGGCAGCTACATGCCCAGACCACGTGGTAGAGCAATGTTCAGGTCAGAGCTGCTTGTTGTAGAGAGTCTATGAGAGCATGATATGAGAATGTTGGAATTTTCCTCACTGATCACTTGTACCTTACATACATGTACCTCTGGCTAGAGAGAGGCACAAAGTTGTGTTTTGCCCAAAAACCCAGCGCAATGGCCCTGGAGAGTACTTTCACCTGCATTGCTTAGTTTAACACGAACCACTTGGAAAGTTAAGCTGCTCAAAATTAATAATTATTATCTCTAAGTAGTGTAACACAGCCTTGACACATGATGTCTTCTCTTTTTTTCAGGGGCCGTGCAAGGGGGGCATACTGGTATTCTCCATATTGATGACTGCAAGAAATCATCGTTCACCCTAAAATTAGCAGCATATATTGTTTTTGCTTTTTCAGTTTCTTAGCATTTCTATCCTATGCATATTTTTAACAGAGGTCAGTTATTTTTGTCTTCACAGGTTTCTTGGCTATTCTCAAGGGACCGCACAGTGAAGCTTATGGGTTTTCAAACAAATGTGTTGCTCTGCCACTTTCACTGTGGATTTATAAACCAGAGTAGGTATAGTGACTTGGACAAGCTTTGACTGAAGGGACTGACAGTGCAAGAAAAAGATGTAAAAAGAATAAAAGAAAGAAAAGAATCTAAGAAAGGAAGGAAAGAAAAAAAAACATTAATAAAAGAAAAAAAATCTTGTGGAATGTTGCAGACTGAAGTAAATGAGAAAAGGTACTGCACGTGGAGAGATGAGAGATTGTGTCTTGAGAGAAAAAAAAGACAGATACAGTTACTTGAATGTATGTTTTAGTTGAAATTTGTACTAAATGCATTAAACTAAAATGCATTCCCTTTTAATATCCAGCTTTGAAAAAAACATCAATAAAGATTTTGTAAAAATGCATTTTCTTTGTAATGCTGTGCTGTACATCTAACATGTAGATCTTTTGGAACAGAGGTGGGTCAGGCAAAGAATCTCAGTTGACCAGTTTGATCCTTGACTGGTGAGATCACATATAAACATAGTCATTCCCAACAAGACACCCACATATAAAGCTTTGTATTTCAAGAACCAAGATCCTGGTCAAATGGGACCTCTTTATTTTTCTTGATTACTTCATAACTATATACATCAATGCCCTGATATACAGGGCCCCTATGGATACCAGCCTTTGAGTTGAATGGGCTACCCTGTAGAAATAAATAATTTATATTTAAGAGTCTCCTCTCTCTTTGGAACTCTTGAAGGGTTGCATTAAAAGAGACAAGTGACATCTGATAGACTGCAAGATTCTCGTAGCAAATTGCTTTCTGCTTCCTTCAACCAAAAAAGGAGAATTTGGCATGAGATCAAGAGTCAGGGCTTTTTTCCACGCACCCCTTCAGTTGACCACTTGTGCACGTTGCTTGATTGAATTTTATTAGAAATTCAGTCCTTAACACCTTGGAACACTGAAGGTACCTTCTGCAGGGGTTTCAATAACATTAGTTATAAGTGGCCACTGAAGGTGTAATAGGTGGCTGTGACCACTAAATGGGCCGTAAGGCCCGTTTTCCCTAGGGGGTCTGGTGGTATGCTCCCCCAGAAAAATTTGAAATCTGGAAGCTCGGAAATGCGATTTCCAGCGTTCTGGGCATCAAAAAGCTTGCTGTTGATGGGTATTTTTATTGACCACAAAGTGGGATTTTTTTTGACAAACTAATAATTTTTTGATGCAAAGAGGTGCATTTTGAATACCTTTCCAGGCAGATATCTCTCAGTGACACTTGATATCCACTTAGGCAGTAATTTCTTTGAAGTCCTTTCTTAAAACAAGAACAACTTCTCTGCTACTCATTCAAATGTACCAACACGGCAACAAACTGATTTTCAACTCTTCAGAAAAAAATGAAATGAGATAAACTTTACAACAAAATTCTTTCCACTAATATTCTTACAAAATCAAACCTCATTTTCAACTTTTCATTGATTCTCCTACGGTTCATTATTAAGGTTTACAATAATCGTAAAATAATAAAAATTAAATCATATTAAACATTCAGATGTCTTGGGTATCCTGAGATGAACAGTGATAACATTGATCGGCAACTACAAACAACATGTACACTATTTCTTTGGAAAGGTTAGTTTGCCCGCTTTTTTGTAGCATTTAACAATCTCAGTGGTTGTCGTTGTTGTATTTGCTTTTTTTTATTAATATCATTTTTATTTTCATTAATGAAATCCAAACAGACGGCGGTAAGAGGTCCTACAGGCAGCGGTAGACCGC